TTTTTGCAGTTGTTTACTCGGGGTTCCTTAAAATGAAAGACGTTGCCAAGAGACCACACTAAAAAGAACCCCGAGTGCACGCTGACAAGCGTCTTGTTTATTTAAAAAAAGATAAGCCATGACGACATGACGAATCATGACATTTGCAGACTTGATAGCCAGCAGTATTTCAGTCATTTATTTTAATATATGTTAAAACAAAAGAAAGAAAATGATTTTAGGTGACAAGAGGCGAATAAATCGCTCAACATCAGGTTAGAAACCTTATCAAACATGCATTGAACGAAGTCAAATTGTGTTTACTTGTTTGATTCAATAGCATATGTAACATTCACACTGATATCACCAGATCAAATTTCATTTTCTAAGCATTTCTAAGCATCAAGCATCTTTAAGCACTATCTTTTCTATCTTTACGTATRTCATGTTTTCTACTGAACGAAAGAAGGTGTTTTGTGATGATATTTTCCAAAAAGACGTGATAAAGTGTCTGTCACACAATAGCGTGACAACAACAAATTTCATCGAGAGGAACGTCGTTTAGCGAAGCTTGCAAACGCCAAAAAATTAGTAGCYCAAAAATATTACTTGATATTTCTTAAGTTGAAACATTGATCTTCGACTGGAAAGTACTGAAAAGTTTTAAATCCATGTGGCAAAGGGTGTTTTTTACTACTCTAACTTGGCGAAAATGCGAAAAAATGCAACTCTTGAAAAATCGATAAAATATTCATACCTGGATATTTTTCAAAGATTGACACATCATATTAAAGGGTGGATATAGGCCTTTGAAACAGGCGATTAGATATACCCATTTTCTACATCAAACTTCGAGCTAAATAGTGAAATTCAAATCATGCCGTCCTACTCTACCAAAAWATATTTTTGAAAACTTTTAATATTATTTTTGGCATGCTGTCCCTAAATGCTATCTACCAACAAAGTATTAGCGATTTCSATTTTTGGCATTTTGCAGTCCTCGGTCGATTTKTACGGACTTCTGCTCTTAATAATTCGCTGATGACACCACTTGAGAGTGAYGATAAAGAGTTCATCCCCAATATTGACACAGTGTTTTCAAACGAACTCTGGACCTCATGCAAAATATCCTTTAAGGTACGGTAATACAAGCAACAAAAACGTCCAACTTGTCTCGCAACATTGCTGAAAAACAAGTTTAAAAGCGATCCTGCGCGTTTTACTACCAGCGAACCAACTTGTCTCGCAGCAAAACAATTTGTTGCAAGTTGAATTAGTTTAGATTTCTTATTGGCTAAAAACATCACCTGATGTTGGCTTGCGCGCGCTAAACGTCATTTTGCTGCGAGACAAGTTGGGTTGCTGTGGTAATACGAGCAACATCTACAAGTTTTGTTGCAAAAAGTAGAACCATCTTCTACTTTCTGCAACAAACTTTTTCAACTTGCAACAAGCCATTTTGACGCGAGACAAGTTGGTACGCGCGTAGAAAAACGAGCAACATCGCTTTCCAACTCGTTTTGCATCAATGTTGGGAGACAAGTTGGACGTTTTTGTTGCTCGTATTACCCTACCTTTAGTAATTCACGTTCTGATTCATTTACAGTTCTGCAGCATTTCTCCTTAACCAACTTTGAGCTTAGAATTTTGTCTTCAGCACATTCAGCTTGTCCACAATCACAATTTTTAGCACAATGATCACAGCAGGTATGTTTAACTTCTGTGGGGCTTCAAGACTTCAAGGGCTTCTCTTTGAAATAATTCATAATTAATTCCCTTCGGCATTGTCATGAAGTGTTTTTTTTTTTACAAAATCTCGAACAGAATTATCACAGTGTGCCAAGTGGTGTGCCAAATAAAACATAATAGATTCACTTTGTTTACCATCACGGCCACCTCTTCATATTTCTTGGACATACTGTTCAAGATCTCGGGGGATGCCATAATGTATAACTCGACGAATATCTGGAACATTGACCCCCATTCCCAGTGCACTTGTGGCAAAGACCACTCTAATTGCGCTATCCAGTTGTATGAATTGTGTTAGTTGGGGTTTTGCTGTGATACATAGCAAATAGCATGGCATCAGAGGGTATACTTTCAGAAAACAAAGAATACAGCTCCCCACAATTACTTATGCTTTGACAGTATACAATTGTTTTTGCAGTGCATCTCTTTTGGCTTGCCAGTTCCTCTACTAATGTCTCGSCCATATGCTCCACGGAATATTTCTCCATTGGATGCTTCCAAACCCCTGAAGTACATGTTTTAAATGATCAATACATACTGTAGTTGTAAAAGCAAAAAATATTTCTAGTATCCATTGTTTTAGACC